TGTGAATTTTCTAGATATAATCTTCACGTGCAAAAGAGAGTGGTAATGGCTACAATGGGATTACATAATTTCATTAGAATTTCAAGTTTTTCATATGAAGATTTTGCGGAAATAATCAGATAAGGCGAGGTTACCAACACAAATCCTGAGAATGATTTAGGTGACATGAACACTTCAAGTATAGGAGAAGGAGATCTTATGACAACAATTAGGAATAATATTGCAAATATGTAATCGGCAAATCGAAATACTCTATAAAAAATTTTCAACGTTGTTTCATACAGTGTATTTAATTTTATTTTATGTAGAATGTTTGAAATATATTTATAACAACCATTCTAGTTTATACATTTATAAATTATATTTTAATATTTTAATAACCAAATTCGTTTTATTTAAAGAATTATTTAGAAATTGATTATATTTTGTTGTTATAAATTCTTATAGTAATTGCTATTGTAGTAAGAACATTAAATTAGTTAGTGATCATAATTTAAAAAAAAATAAAGTTTAACACTATAATAAATAATAGGGAAATTGGGTTGAATAACTAAAAAAACTATAATAAAAAATCTAACCAATTAACCTAAATCTAATGGACACAATTAGACCACGTACTGTATGTTATTTTTTGTTAGATCCTTAATTATTAATTTTTTTGCCTAGTGAGAAAATTGATCCTAAATAATATAGCTATCATAATTAAAAAAAAATGTAAGATTTTAACATTTGAAAAAGTTATGTGTTAAAAATATGCAAACTAAACAATATTTAGACTTAATGTAATTTATTTAAAGTATATATTGTTTAATAATTTGTTAGTTAAGATTTTTATTCCAAAATTTTTGTTTTTTTTTATTATTTTAGTATATATTTGAGAAATTTAAAAAAATGCCACTTTTCAAGTGCCACTTTACAAAAATGCCACACTTTTGAAATCTTTACAAAAATGCCATTTTTTCAAAATTATATTTTCTTTATATTATTTATGTTTGGGTTAATTATGTTCTATTAAGGTTTAGTTTTGAGTGTTTAGGAGATTTTAGGTGTCAAAACATTTTTTAGGGTTTAGAATTTTAAGATATATGCTTTATAAATCTATAATTAGTTGCATTTTTGTAAATGGACACCTCTAAGTGGCATTCTTACAAATGTGCATACAAAAAGTGGCATTTTTGTAATTGCCCCTATATATTTTGTACTACTATTTATCCGCTTTCACCATTCAAACATATATTATGAACTGCATTATTTGTTAGATCTGCACTTCTCCAGCTTGATCTGCTTTTTTCTGCTTGATCTACTTGATCCGCTTGATCCGCTCTGCTTGATCTGCTTTCTCTATTCGGAGCAAACAAAGTGAAATCAATGATGTCAGAAAGGCATCGTTAGTTATGAGTTTTTTTCTGATAAATATTCAAAGTCAAAAATGTCATTGAAGGTGACTTAGAAATGTAAGCATCTCCTGATGTATATATAAGTATATACGTCCACTAGCTGTGGTCGGTATGTAATTATATCGATTTCTTCTTATAATTGTGAAAATAACAATAGTTGAAAGTTATTATTTTAAAAAAT